CGTAACTTTTCAGCTTGTGGAGAAGACCTGAATGATAAACCCTGCCAAAGGTTTTTATCGAGATTTCCAACGCTACAGCTAGGGATTCGCCGTTTTTATCGAAAGCATGAGGGACTATTTCCTCAATTATCGTCCGTACATCGGCAATTGACCTGGAAAAACGAAAGCCATATTGCTTGTCAGCGAAAAGGCATTGCTATGAGATGAGCCAATTCAGTAGGAATTTCCCAAGTGGTAAAAGGTCGATGGTTGTAAGGGTCGGACGGCTCACCAGAGTTCTTAAGAACTGAAACAACAGCTGATGACATCCAACAGGCAGGAAATCAGAAAACAACGAAGCATTTATTTTACAGTTTAGAGAGAAGAAGAGCCACTTCAATAGCACATCTCTCAATGACTATTACAGGATCTAAGTTAGAGATAATAGCAGAAACAATGGAAGAGATTATATGCATATCACTCAACAGAAATTCACTTCTAGTATGGAAGTTAAGCAGGGATATTCCGGATGAGTTAGGAATAGAGTTTGAGAATAATTTACAAGCAAAGCATTCAGCTTTAACAGCGAAGGATGATAACACCTCATATTTCTTGATGAGGGGAGGTATAGAGACTTTACATTTATTTAATGCCCTATTACAGAACCGCTAGTAATCGAGGGAGCCGAATTTCTTAGAGGCTATGCGTTGCCTCATTCTCTCGCCAAACAGGGACTTTGCTTCTACGAGAACTAGCTGACATTTATTGCGAGCAGGAACGAACAGGCGTCTATTGGTATAGCCGAAAATAGTGGTTTCTGTGTGTTATAGCGGCCGAGCATGCTGGTGTGAACCATGGAGAGAATTGAGGTTTCACCTGATATTTCTGAGAAGGGATGAAAGCGTCCATGCCGGCTTTGACCCCCAAAGAAATCTCAGTGTTGCAGTTTACAATTGGGTGTTTAAAGATGTCAGTCCAAGAGGTGCCACAAACAAAAATCTCAGAATGAGTCCCAGTCAGCATGCTGGAAACGGACAAAGGTCTTTTCGATAGAGGGTTCCAGTTTAATAGAGGATTGGAACGAAATTACCAAGAGGGTAGTGTTGCGAAGCTCGACAAGAGCGAGTGGAGGAGGTAAGAAATAAATCTAGTAGAGAGGTATGTTGCTCGGTTTTGCTAGGGAAACGAGTAGAAAACTCCACGATTTGAGTTAGGGACTGGGCAATGGAAAAATCCAATATCCGGCATCAGTACGTTTAGACTGCTTAAGTCACGTGTCTTGGTGAGCAATAAAGTCACCGAAGACAAAGATGTTCGCAGATGGATGGAGAGAATGTGCTTTCTCTATACTGCCAGCAATTATGTCTAATATAATGCAGTCCTGGAAAGAGGGGAGCGATAAATGAAAAAAAAAGAGATAGCTATCAGAGTTTAGTAACGAAAGACGGAAGCACATGAAAGAGTAGTCTGGGGTCTCGAGAGACAATTCCGTGGCCACTGGAAGATTATCCCGGATGTAAACACCACGGGCATGCATGCGAATGCTGGAATCTTTTCATCAAAGGGGATATAGCCTGGAACCAAGAATTCATTGGTTGCAATGGAAAAATTTAAGTTAATTTCACAGAGGACAAAGATATTTGACGATGGTTCCAAGACGAAAGATTCTACGGTGCAGCAGTTGAAAAGAATACCATAATTATTAGTGAAAGAAAAGCAATGGGGTGGGTACTTTTTGTTTGTTTTTTTTGTTTTTTGTTTTTTGTTTTTTTAATGGTTTAGTTGTATTCCTTTTTGTTGTTTTTTCCATGAGATTCCTTTTGAAGGAAGAGAGAAAAGACCGCCTTAATTGTCATTGTATCTCGTTATTGGTAATATAAACGAGCCAGAGCATACTGTGGCTTCAGATTTGCCCACTGGAACTACAGTCAGGGACACCTACCCTTGCCCGACATAGCACTACAAATACCCTGATATTATGTGACTGTTGAGCAGAGCAGCCACTCTAGGCCCTGTCAAAGAGTTCGGCCTCCTAACGACCAGTCGGAAGCAGCATCCAGCAAACTTCCAACTAGGTATTCTCATAATGGAATGTCACAGCCACTGTCTTGCCCGATCACAAAAATTGATATATAGTTAAATCACTGTAGCCCAGGCAGAAGAAAAAAATACAGCCGGTAAACCATATCGTGAAAAAGAAACATGTGATGAATTTATACTGTTCAATAGATATAGAAGGAGTTCTGGCTGTACAATAGGTGAGCCTATTTACTCCTGTTAACCTGTTAAAAAAACGGAAAATAAGAAAGGAATAAATTATGACAGTTCTGATGTCCACTAAGAACATTTGGGAGAGGCTGAAGGAATAAATTTACTAATAGCAAGAGAATAGAAAATACAGGACAAAGAAGAGACGTAAAAATTTCAAAATCAAAACAAAACAAGTAATTAAATTAAAATTTTACAAGCAACAAGATAGTCCGAGGCCTTATAAGTTACTTATTGAAGACACTTCACTTGCTTCTTTCTACTATTTAAATTGAACATTTTATGAACAGAAAGGCTCACTTACTTTTAATGGTACGTTGGTACAATTACGGTGACTTCGAAGTGATATTTTTATTTCCATGGCCAAACGCATACGACTATTTCTTAATTGAGGATGAGTAGTAATGTTAACGGGGATGAAGGATCAATTTTCTAAACGATTTACCTACGATTAATATTTTGGGCTTCAGTCAAACGAATTAGTTTTCCCAGGTACTAAGAACAACCAATCAACAACAAACGAATGGCAAACTTGAAATAATAATAATAATAATAATAATAATAATAATAATATATATATATATATATATATATATATATATATATATATATATATGGCCACGCAACAGAATGAAGCAAATTAAAATGCAAGTTTATTAAGTTTTAACTTATAAGTTATAATATCAAATTTCCTCGAAAAACTTTAAGCCATATTTCGCATTCAGTTTACAACTCAAGAATAGACTCACATTAAAAGGTAATATTGGGGATTAATAATAAGTTATTGAGCAAGCACTTTATGGAGACGCGCCCGCATGCGCGTAAATATATATATATATATATATATATATATATATATATATATATATATATATATATACGTGTACAAATGCTGAGGCAAATATTAAGACAATCAAGGAGGAATAACTGAAATAAAATTTGGAAATAGGATGGCATAGAAAAGTGAAAAGGGCAAAAAACAAGCAACAAAAATAAAATACAAGAAAATTAGAAAAAATAGCAATTAAAAGTCCAACCATTCTTAACTAATCGTATAATGAATAGCATTTCTGAACGACCAATGCTTCTAGATTTTGTCACATTAATGTGCGGGTCCCCTATCCTTGAACCTACGTTGTTTCTTGTATTCATCAATAACTTTACCGATGTCATCAGTTCCCAACTAGATATTTATACTAATGCACAAATATTTATCTCTTTCTTAATAGTAAACCCGATAGATTCGAGGGGAGCTGCTCTCGAGAATGACCTGAAATCAATTGTTAACCGGGACAAGAATTAACTTGTAAATTTTAACGCCTCCAACACAAACCTGCTATTTTTTAATCTGCATAAAGATTTTTTGCGTTCCATCAGCATGACCGATGATGACCTCCAGTAGAGTAACTCTTTGCGTCTTTTTGGCCCCACGTCTTCCAAATATATTGAGTGATTATATTAAATCAATTGTTTGGTATGCTGCTCGGAAAGTTGATTCCCTGTATCGTGCCAGACAAATTTCCACGCCATAATTCATATCCACATTTATAAATCATGACTCCTGATATATATCTTCAAATTCTAGACAAAATCCAAAGATGGATCTGTAATGTTATCGGTCCTGACCTGGCATCTCGACTTCAGTCATATTCTGATCTCCGTGCTGCTGTTTCACTGTGTCTTTTCTATAAATATTTCCATGGCAATTTTTCTTATGAGCTCTTCTCTTTCGTACTTCGACCACATCAATTTAAGCGTACTGCTTGATTGGCAATTAGGTCTCGTCATTTTGCTGTTCAAATATTTAGATGTAACCGTAAGTTCTTTTGTAATAGTTTTTGTTCTTGCACTTCTTACCTGTGCAGCTCTTTTCTGGGTTTTTTTTATTTCTCTCTGCCGCCTGAAATCTTCAAGAATTGAATGTAATGTCAATCGTCATATTCTGTCTCTTTAAATACTGATCTTTTTTGTCCTTTCTCCTCACTGAAGACTTTGCTTGCGATGAAATCATTAAAAAATACAAGGCGAATAATGAAAATTACCATGATGTGATGATTAGCAAGATCGCAGTGTACAGTGTTCGATCCTCATTTCTATGACCTTATGCTAGATTAAGTTAAACCTACTAATTAAATCTGTCGAATATCGTTTTTACTGACAAGTGAGTTTTCACCTACTTCCTAATCTTTGTGGCCTCATGCCAGAGTACGCTAAAACGGGTAAATTGGGCGTTTTTTATGTAGAATGATGAGCAAGGTAGTCTCACAGATCATTTTTACATTGTAGGGAATGCGATGTTACTGGTGCTCAAAACATGTGTCCCTATTCCAGCCTAATCCAAGCTAATATATAAGAGACGCATCAGTCAACCAAGAAAAGTTTCTATGAAGCAAAGTGTTTCAATGTGAAAGAAGGAAAATAATGATAAATTATTTTTTTTGCTTGTATTTTTCTGGTTTCTTTTTACGCACGATCGACATTTCAGTTTTAAAATTTTCATTATTGACGTGTACTGTTTTTGTTGCTAGATTTTATTTTTATTTTATTTTTTATCATTCACGAATTAAATATTTTTATTGTTTTTAGATTTTTCAACTTTCTGATTTTCGTTAATGTTGTCTTCGATTCAGCATTAATTCTGCTGAAACCTTTGGAATCAATAGAGTTGCTTTTATTAGTTTCTTTCACATTTTACTAATTTTATTTTCCATTTATCATTTATTTTTATTTATTCATATATTTCTTTTTATTAGGTTTATTTATTATTGGGGGAAATGCGACATTCCTCCAAATTTCTCTCCTATGCCCTTCGGATACATTTGTTGTTCGTTTAAAACAATTATTTTTACCAGTCATCGATATCGTCTTTCTTCTTTACCACTTCCTCTTTTCTTTTTTAATTCCTCTTTTCTTTTTTATTTCCTCCTCAACTTCTCTATCCCTTCCTTCTCCCTCAATTTTATTTACCCTCTCCCTGTATTCTTTACCTCTTCCTATTCTTCCCTTCTTCTGTACGTTCACCTTGTCTTTTTTACTTCTTCCACTTCCCCTTTACTTTTTCAAATCTTTTTCTTTATTTCCTAAACCCTTTCTTATTTACACCCTCCTCTCCTTTTATATCTCTTACTTTTCTTCCCATTTTATTTACATCTTCCTCACGTTCTCATCGTCTTCTTTACCTACTCCACTTCCTCACATCTCTTTAAGATCCTCTTCTTCTCCCTTACTTCTTTGTTCTCTTCCTTTCTTATTTACCTGCTTCTTGTCGTTTTTATTTCTTCTTCTCAGCTTCTCTTTTACTACCCATTCTTGTCTTTCCTCTTCTTCTGTAGCTCTCACCGTCACCCTTTTTACCTCCTCCTCTTCTCTCCTTCTTCTTTACGTCTTTTCCTCTTTACTCCTTACTCTTCTTTACTTTATCTATTCTTCTTTATTATTCTTATTCCCATCGCTATTATTATTACTATCAGTAACAATAATTTAATCAACACCGATATTTTCATCTTCATTACAATTTTTTATTAAGGAATTCCCATGCTACTTTCACTTAATTGCTTTCGATAGAGATAAGACGACAGCAAGTCTTCTCAAACATTCCTCGGGTCCTAATTTCTATCAGTTCTGTTGTTGATATTTTCAGAACCGTTCAAACTGATCCAGTAATTATTGCTACAATCGTTATTTTAATATATTAAACGCCCTTAATTTTCTGGTCAGATCAATAGAGCCAGTTTTCATTTATTTGCGAGTTGACACGAGAAACTTTCTCAGATTTTCAAATAATCAAATCTTGTTTCCAGTGTTTTAGGTACAGTTCCTTTTGAAACTTGGGAACGACTCTAAACTTTATGGTCGATACTTTCCTTAACTCCTGGAACAAGTCCTGGTATTTCCCTAATTTCTCACGCTATTACGTTTACGCTGTGGTCAGCGAAAAGGCAGTTTCTTTTATCTCAATTCACGATTATCGATTCTGGAATTTTTGCTTGAAAGATTATTATTATTATTATAATTATTATAATTATTATTATTATTATTATTATTATTAATAATATTAATAATAATAATAATAATAATAATTCAAGCTTGCTGCAGGAGTCTGAGAGACGGCAAGTCTCCTCAGATCTCCAATACCTCTCTCAGTATCCTAGCAGAATTCACCAACACCGTGACCTGAACAATGTCAATTCTTTCATAAATTTTGGATTAATCCAATCTCGATTATAATTTTAAGTTGGTTGTTTAATTGATTTTGTTTAGCGGCATATCAACTTTTATGAATTATTTAATGCCGAAATCTAAAAATTTTGAACATGATTTTATGGCTGCAACTAAATATATTTTGAACACAATTTCATGCCTTCAGCTCCAGATAAAATGTCTTGTTGCCAATTCTACTATAAAATGTATTGCTGGTAATTTTGCTTTAAACATGTATTTCTGGTCATTTTGCTATAAATATGTATTATTGGTAATTTTACTATGAATATGTATTGTTGATAATTTTACTATGAATAGGAATTGTTGGTAATTTTACTATAAATATGTATTTTTATGCTTTCATATTTTTTGTTTTTCTTTGGAGTTTTACTATTTACCAATAGCTAGAAACCTAACAGGTGCTAACCCCTCATCCCTGGGCCAGGTAGCACCTCGGAACAACAGCAATTAAGAGGTGGTTCTACGCCCCTGAAAACTTTCAACCTCCCGATCCGAGGCCTTGCTGCCGGATGTAGTCTATCGTCATACCCAGGACTATCTAATTTTAGGAAACGTTTCATCACTTCACTTCCCACCACGTGAACCGTAATCCAATAGTGTCGTAAGGTAATTACGTGTCCGGCAGCAATAACAGCAATGGATTGCCTAGAGCAAGATTGACTGACGGGGCACATCTCTCTTCAGGCCGGTTCTGAATTCAGAGTTTTCCTTCTCCCAGACAGATCTGTTATTTATCTCATAACTGGGACGAGAAGATAGGGTTTCATAAATTTTCCAATGATACTTCCACGAAAATGTCCGTAATAATCTGGGTTGGAACTTGTCTTGCCCAAACCTCTTTTCGAGTTCGCACATCTACCACCCACGAACCTTTACAAGTTTATTTTCTCTTTTCCTTACCACCCCGTGATCTACTAGTACATCCACAGTCTCTCACGTTTTCCTTCAGTAAATATACAAGAATAGAAAGAGGTGTAAGACAAGGATGTATCTTCTCGCCGGACTTATTCAACCTTTACAGTGCGGCGATTCTGAGACAATTAGAATTCCTACCAAGATTCATTATTGGCTGCCACAATGTTTATAACATTAGATATGCAGATTAAAAAAAGGAACCTACAGGAACGCCTGCAGAAAGAACAAAAGGAAAACGAAAGGAAAAGACTAAACATCAAATGTAATTAGACACATAGTCTTGTTGTGAGAAAAATGAAGAATGCAACATACAATTACAAATTGGAAATACCAAAATGAAGCAAGTACACAAATTTAAATATCTAGGAAATGTTTTTTACAGAAGTCAGAAAATGCGAAGCTGGAATGCCAAACCCCAGTGGAATAATGAAAACCTAAGCAAAGTATATCACGTTAGAAACAAAGAAAACAATGCTTAACTATAATGTAATATCAGTTTGACTATATAGCAGTGATTTCTAGTCAATCTCCTCACAGATTAAGAGACTTGTGGCTCTACAGAAGCATGCTATGGACTGAACATATGAGCAACGACGAAGTTTTAGAGAAACAAAAAGCAAGCTTATACTTAGCATCAGAGACAGTTGAAACTTCTCGGACACATAATGAGGAAAGATGATTTAGAAAACTTGACACACAGAGGACATATTGAAGGCAAGAAGGAGAGATGAAAGCAGCGCACAGCCTACTTAACGAACTTGTGTAAATGATTGGTAGGACAGGGATTAGGGGAGATAACTAAAAGAAAAACAATTACTAAGAGCTACAAATGGAACTGGAAATTGTAGAGAGCTATGATCCCCCAAGTTCTGAAGAGATATGACAGAAAGTTCTCACTTGGATGGCGTAGTCAATGTTTATCTCAAACTACTATATATGCCTTTTTTTAAAGCAATTCAACCGAAGGAAGACAGGAGTGCCACTAGCACGCAGGGGGTTACGGAGAGTGAAAGTAAGAGAAGAGAGTCGGTGTAAGCGGGGGGGGGGTTGAGGAAAGGAAAAAAGGATAGGGATCAAGGCAGCAGAAAATGATGATTGACGTTGCAATTAAATTTTTGAAGTTTGTAGTTATCAGGGAAGCGATTATTTGGGAGGGAGTTCCAATGTCGGAAGTGCGAGAAATTAAACTGTTGGGGTAGAAGTGGCGATTCCATTTAACTATTTCAACAGTAAATAGCCATGAAAATATTTGTAGAAAAGATAGCGAGAAGCTGCATCACGCCTATGAAAAAGTGTGTGGAGTCGAGAAGCCAGTTCAGGACCGATTACCTTACAGATCCATCTTTGCATCTTATCGAGAACTACGAAATGAACGGCGAGGCCACCAGACCAGATATGGCAAAATTATTCAATACAAGGACGAATGGTAGGTGTGCAAGATGGACTCTGACGAAAAATATCTTCTGGCATAACACAGTGAACCACATTTCCTTGCAGTAGATGCAGCTATTGATTTAAAGTAGTTGTTTCTTTTATTTTCTAGAACAGCCTCTGTTTTTTATTGGTAGTACTTGTTTAGTTGATCGAACAAAATGTCTTCATAATTTCTTGTGGATAACTATTTCCACTCTACCGTACCTGTTTTAGTCTTCTTTCTAATCCAGCTTGCTGCATTCATTACTTTTTCATTTCTTTATGTTTTACATACTGGAATTTAGTTTGTTTTTTTTTGGTGGGGGTGTTTATTTTTTTTTTTGTCTGGGTTATGTTTATTTTTGTTTTCCCTAATTAGTCATTATGCATTTGCTTCTGGCTGTAATGGCGGATTTCATGTTCTTTTCTGATATCTTCTGTTTAACTATGTCCTTGATAAATTTTTCAATAATTTCCATCTTTTAAATTATTCTTTAGAAACCTTTGTTTCCAGCTTGTGTTCTTCTCTGTTTTCACGGTTTCTGTGCTTTTGTCAGTTTCAGTTGATTTTAATAATTTCATTACTCTTTCATGTCCATTGTGCAAATCAAATTTGGACGACTTTTTTTTTCCTTTAATGAGCACTAGCTTTCGTTTTACATGTAATCTGTCAGTTTAATCCCTGGTATGTAGAGGCTTGCTAACATCCTGGAGTTGAGCATCATTCTAATGGGAGGCAGGGAGAGTTCTTAGTTCCTCCAGTTGAGACTTCCTTAGCTAAAACCTGATATGCGACATAGATTGGGACGAATTCCCTTTGTATTCTCTTAGTAAGAATAAAATCTCATTCTCAAGAACCGTTTCTCTTTGGAAAAAACTCACTAAAGGATGGTTCCTCCATCGCTACAACCTTAGCATCTTCAAGTCTAGGGCACCCGTTATTTTTCTTACATATCCTCATAACTTGTACTTACCTTCTTACGTTCATAAAACCGCATTCAGTAGCACTCTGCCTTGAATTTATCTTATGCCATGACTAGTGTTCCATTTTTTTAAGCTGGCAGTTTGGTTTCGCTTATTGTTACATGTCTTCGTTTTCTATATTAATCGTTGTGCGTAATTCACTCTACTGAAATCCATTTCTCTGTTATCGCTATGTCATGACTATGTCATCGCATTGCATGTTTAGAATCAGTTTTAAGTTCTTATCGATTGTTTGAGAATAATCTTAAGTCATTCATGCATATTAGGTGTTTAACTTTTTCCCGTCATGTCGTTGAATTGACAACCTTCATAATTTTTCAAGAACAGAAAGTGAAAGCATAAAGTCCTTTTAAAAAAACCCTTTTGTTACACATCGCTCTAAGGGATTCTCGAGCGATGAAGTTTGCTTTCCAGTTTTTCATGGCATTAACCATGGATTTTTCCAATTGTTTTATTGATATTGAACATATTAAAAGGATAGAGGTGCCAAATAGAGTTGGAGAGATCAGTTCGCAAGCATTCCTCTACTAAATTCATCGAATTCGTTCTGTTTTGGTTTTAATTTCCTCATCTGATCGATTTTCCGGACTATAACCGGCGACTTTTTTCTCGAAATATATAGAGTGCGGATTATATAACGGTGCGGGTTATATATGAATTGTGTCTTCGAATCTTGAGTGGCCAAATACTAAATTAAAATAAATTTATTAAATTTATCAGTGTAGTCTCACCAAGTTACACCAGCTGCTCGATATCGCCGTGAGCAAACCGTTCAAGGACAACCTCTGTGCCATATGGGAAAAATGGATGATCGATGGGGAGTATAGCTTCACAAAAACCGGTCACCAGAGTCGAGCCAATCATGTCCAAATAGTTGAATGGGGACCCGATGCTTGGGAGAACATCAAGGTTTCAACTATGAAGAAAGGATTCCGTAAATCACAATTGTGC